CGTTGATTATTTGATCTTTTTTTGGTGAACAACGAGGTGATATGTTTATATATCTACAAAGCCAAGATACGACAAGTTCGTAGATTGAAGAAGGAGATTTGTCAATGATTTGATATGTTCAGGGCGAAGAATTACCGTCTCACGCATAACGGACAAGAGCCGGATATGGAAGAAAGCACCGAAGACGCTCAGAATGGTAGATTTGCAATTGAGTATTTTTGAAAATGAATTTTGTCACATGGCTTTAAAGATTATTATGAGGAGCAGTTGTTAGGATTTTCATCTGGCAGTGAGCATCGTAATCTTTTAGTCTTTTAGTGTGTCACAAATTTTGAAATTTCAGAGCTAGAAAATCAAGTGCCTCTCGATGTGGACGCCTATTCAGGCCAGGCAAATAGCGCAAACAGTTTCAGAGAGTCGAGAGCGCTGTTGCGGCAATATCTACAGGTTAACTTCACGATCTGTATTTTGTTAATTTGATGGTAAAGGTGATGCGTTCTGTTGTATTGCTGTTGTTCGTGTTTTAAGAATATTTCGCTTTAGTTAAGACGGATTATATGATGTTTAAAGGAAATTGGCTACAGTGAAGCGATCCTCGATGTGCGTTCATTTCGAGCAAAGAACCTTCTGGGTCTGGTNATGTTCTTTGGAGAAGGAGGAACTCATCGTAGATTCACGTTATTCTTGTCAACACTGATTGTGAGGTTTTAGTCGAATGGTTGAGAATTCTGCTTGTTCGTCAATTCATTGTTTTTTTTTGTTTCAGGCAAGCAGCTGCAAAAGCGTTGCAAGATACCGATCGTGCAGTGATGGAAGTGGCGCATTTTCTGAATAAGAAAAAAGGAGGGGATACGCAGAATCGTGGCATAACTGATGATAGGTGAGTGAAGTTGGATGTATTTTGATAGTGTAACGTTAGTTGATGTTTGTTTGCTGCTAATTTGGAACGAGTTTCGCGTATTAGTGACGGTGAATGATTTTCAGTGATTCTGATGATGAAGACAAGGTACGAAAGGGAGCTGGAAAGGATGGATTGGATCCTGAGACAGTGGATGCATTGGGAGAGTTTTCATTCTTGAAAGAGGATGGCAATAAATCGCCTACTGGAACTGCGAAGAAACGTGTTGATAGTGGAGCGGATGAATGGAGTGTCAACCAACATACCATCAATCAAATGAAGGAAAAATTCAGGTACTTAAAAGGATTGAATGGTTTCTTAACTGGATAGTGGAGTGAATGAAGTGGAATGCCGTGAATGATAAATGGAAGAGTTGTAAGGTTATACGTTTGCAGTCAACATTCATAATGCGTATTAAGATCTGAGCAAGAACGTAAACGAAGTAACAGTCAAAGTGAGTCACCAGGAGGTGCTTCCAAAAACACTTCCTTACATCAGATGTTTCGTACAGGACACGACGACATCAAACGCGAACTTCCTACGGGTAAGAACAAGTTTTAGTTCAGGATCTCTTTTCAGTTCTCAAATGATGGTCCTATCGAGTGAATCTCTTTTTTTTTTGGGGGGGGGAGGGGATGGGCAGTTCACCACTGAATCGTAGAAACGATTGAGCTCTTCTTTTGTTCTGATTTGTCGATTTCAGATGAAATTCAGCAAATGTTCGGTGCGAAGTCGTCGAAGAAAGATTATATGGATATAAACGCTGCACTTGGGATAGCGGATGAGGCGAATGTGGATATCAAAGATGAATTTAACGCAGTGAGTGAATTCAGTTTGCCGTATTCAGTGAGATGATATTTATGAAGTTGACGAAGAAGCGGTGCTTTGATTGGTCATTATCGATATCCTTTGATAATCTCTTGAGGATTTGTGAACGGAAAATGTTTATTGGTTAGGAGAAGTGTATGTGTTGAGTGAAATGATGAATGATGGTGTAATTATAGCCTGACGACGATAACACGGCGATACGATGGAACCTTAAGTTCACGTTGCGATCGCATTACGACAGCATTCGAGTGATGCAATTCCATCCGGTCGAACCCGTCCTCATAACGGCCAGCGAAGATGGAACGGCAAAGCTGTGGAATTTGGGCACCACAAATCCGAAATCAGAATCAGCGAAAGGCGGTTCGTAGTTTGCACTTCGCTTAACGTGGTGTTCTCGATTTGTTTGATTTGATTTGGCATGAAAACGAAGTCAGTCACCTACTGAAGTTTTTCCAATTGCTTTCATTTGCAGCCCAAGTTCCTTCGCCATCGAACACAATCCCTGAAAT